AACTGGTCAACCTTTGCTCTCATTTATCTGTCCACAACAAATGAATTAAATATGTTTTAAGTACAAAAGGCACATTATCATCTTGATATTGGATGCATAAATTATGATATGTAATGTTTGATACAACTAATTATCTTAAATTCCTCTCACCTATATTTTTCTTTAAAATGTTCTTAATGGATAAGAACTCAAATTCTAACTTTCTATTTTTTATTTTTGAGTTTATGATGGTTGTTTTCAATCCCTGAATCAAATTATAATATTTATCCTTGCGAGATCTAAGCATTAGATCACAAAAATCAAAAGGTAATAAAAATACAAAAACAATAGCCATTAGATTAATTTCGCTATGTGGATTGCAATTTACTAAGCAAATTAGGAAGTTAATGGACAAACTCCAACGACTCCAACAAAAAAATATGACCGTAAAGGAATATAGGCAGAGGATGAAGTTATTAATGATGAAGGTTGTGATAAGGAAAGAACCACGAATCACTCTAGCTAGGTTCCAAAGTGGCATTAACCTAGAAATAAGGGATCAGGTGGAGTTACTACCCTATCAAGATCTTAATGAATTAGTACAATTGTGCGTTAGAGTAGAATAACAAATAAAAAGAATTTTTTTTTACTAAAGAGAATACCTTAACTCTACGAATGAGCTTAAGAGGAAGGGTTCTACCTCCAAACCCAAACTTGAAAGGCCACTTGATAGGAAAATAGAAAAAGAAGAAGAAAAAGATGATTATAGAAAATATGAAAAGGAAAAACAAAAACCCGTCTTCTTGAAGGAGAAGAGGACCAGGGATATCCAATGTTTTCGATGTCTTGGTCAGGGACATTATGCTTCTGAGTATCCTAATAAGAAAATTATGTTAATTAAAGACCAAGAAATCGTAAGCTAGAATGAGGTTCAATCTTCACCCAGTGAAGAGGAATCCTCTAACTCTGAGGAGGAGGTGCTTCCTTGTGAAGGTGATTTATTAATGGTAAGGCGACTCTTGAAAAATCAACCAACTGAATTAGAACAATCATAAAGAGAGAATCTATTCCACACTAGATGTAAAGTTTTTGAAAACACTTGTTCTTTAATTATAGATAATGACTCTTGTTGTAATTGTTGTAGTTTAAGGATTGTAGAAAAATTAACCTTAACTTCAATGGATAAAAGATGATGGAGGAATAGTAGTTGATAAACAATTAAATATTCCAATCTCCATAGGGAAATATAAAGATGAAATTTTATGTGACATAGTTCCTATGGAGGTTGGACATATTTTACTTGGAAAACCCTAACAATTTGATAAGAAAACTCTCCATGATGGTCTTACTAATAAAATAAGTTTCATTCATAAAGGACATTATAATATTGTGTCCACTTATGCCTCAACAGGTAAGAGAGGATCAAATAAAAATGAAAAAAAAAGTTGATGAAGAGAGAAAAGGAATAAAAAAAGAGTGTTAAGAAAATAAGGGGTTATGTTAAAACAGTACATGAGAAGAAAAAGGTATTGGAAGTCGGTGTCTCTTCCAATTTAGTTGTTCACAAAAACATTTTTTAAAATAAAATAAATAAAAATCTTCTGAATGAACAACCTCTTATTCTTCTCCAATGCAAGGAGACACTTGCTGCCAGAAGTCAAGAACTTGATTCTCTACCACAAGGGGTACAAAAGCATTTAAAAGAATTTGATGATCTATTTTCCAAAGAAGTACCCCAAGGGCTGCCACCTCTTAGAGGAATAGAACATCAGATAGATTTAATGCCTGGGGCAAGCCTGCCAAACATGCCTACCTACAGAGCAAACCCCCAAGAAACTCAAGAGATAGAAAATCAAGTTAGTGACTTACTGAAGAAGGGTTGAGTACAGAAGAGCCTTAGTCCTTGTGTTGTCCCGGTGTTGTTAGTCCCTAAGAAAGATAGAACATGGAGAATGTGTGTAGATTGTAGGGCTATTAACAACATCACTGTAAAGTATAGACATCACATACCTAGGCTAAATGATATGTTTGATGAATTGCATGGGGCTAACATATTTTAAGACCAAATTTAAACTATATGAGTCGTTAGTCATGCCTTTTGGCTTGACCAACGCCCCTAGCACCTTCATGGGATTAATTAATCAAGTCCTTAGGGATTGCATAGGAATGTTTGTTGTTGTTTATTTTGATGAGATTTTAATCTATAGTAGAAGTCTAGGTGAGCACATAGGCCATCTTAGACTAGTCTTAATTATATTAAGGGAACATCATCTCTTTGCTAAGTTGGAAAAATGTATCTTTTGCCAAGAAAATGTGATATTCTTAGGTTTTCTAGTTGGCAAAGACGGAGTCCATGTTGACCCTGAGAAAATAAAGGCTATCCAGGATTGGCCTACCCCTAAAAATGTAGGAGAAGTTCGAAGCTTTCATGGGCTAGCTAGTTTCTATAGAAGATTTGTTAAGGACTTCTCCACTATAGATGCTCTGCTTAACGAACTCGTTAAGAAGATCCAACCAAGAAGATTTGTAATAATGCAAAAGAGTGGAAGATCCAACCACCGAACACGAAGATAATTCCGAAGGTTATCTAAATGTGAAGATTCTCTTCTTATGGATTCAAAGGGAGGGAAGATTGAAGTAAAAGTAGAGAAATGGAAACAATGGAGGAAGAGATTAAAGAAAAGGATGGGAAATGAGTGTTATCATGCCACTTGGTGAGTAAGATCTACCAAGATAAGTGAGGAAGATGCAACACTTGAGTGAACTCAAGATAAGACACCAAAAGAGGAATGATCCTCCTAAGCATAGGCTCACAAAACCACTTTAATAAAGTATGTATATTCGAACCCAAAAACAAAAGGAGGAGAGGTATCCTTTATTGGCATGGGTTAAGGACCTACGGGAAATTACATTAGGAAAGATCCTAAGCATATTCTACCCTAGATGCTCCTTCTAGAAACTTGATCATAAAAAGGGTGACATCCTGGTCTTGGAGACCAAGGAACACATCCTCCTACTTCTATTAAGCCAAAGGTGACCTAATTTAGCTCCATTGGTCATCCTAAGGTAAAGGGCCAAGAGTCCAATGCTCCTTTCCTCCAAAAGGGGTGGTAACATGAGACAAGGGTTGTCCAAGAGCAATCCATGTGTTACGCTATGAGTTATAAGGTTCTCATCCTCAAAAAATGGTCTCAACATCAAAAGGGAGTGCATAAGAGCAAACTTACAAAACAAAACAAACAACATGAGTCTAGGAAAACTAATGAAAAAGAGAAGTGCTAAATAAACTAAAGAAGTGAGTAAGGAGGAGACTCTCCTTCTAGTCATGCTCCTAATAATTCTTTTAAGAGGATTTTCTCCCTCCTCATGAGGATCCATGCAATCATCACAAATGAGACAAGGAAGATCTAAAGTTGGAAAATGGACCAAATGACCTAGGTAAGTGTCATTTTGGGTGATTCATCTAGACTCATTCACTCGCATCAAACTCATGGCCCAATAGTAAACTCAAAAGATGTCAAATCTTTCTTTATTAAAATTTTCTTAGACATGAACTTTCATACTACCATACTTTATTATAGTCATTAGAATAGTTTGTTTCTTATGTTGATGATCAAAATAGCTACAACTATAAACTATACTAAGAATTTTTCTAATACTATTCTAATATATCTATAACAACAAAACAATATTACAACTAAGTGGTCTGATACACTTGAGGAAAGCAACATAAAAAAAAGTAATTAACGAGTCAAAGTCAAATATATAAGAAAACATGACATTATTTTCAATCAAAAACATTAAACATATAATGTAGGTATTTATTACTTATATGATGTTTGACCTTTTCATTTTTACACAACTCATCCTTAAACTTTAATAATTTTTTCGTATAAGTGTGAGTTCCTTCCATGAATTCTAACTACTTACATAATTTTAAAAAGATAAATAATCATTCTTTTATAAAACCACAATTTTTTTAATATATTTTACTAAAAAAATATCATATCTCTTTTATGATAAAAAATAAAAAATAATGTAAATTTTTTATTATATTATATACACTATATATAATATAAAAATCATAAACAATTTCATATATAAATTTTATACGGCGAACAAATTTTGATAACTCAATTTTTTTCAAACATTCCATAAATAACTTTAAAATATTATTTTTGTGATTATTAATGAAAAAAAATGAAAATAAATAAATAAATAATAATATAAAAATCTAAAAATAATAATTAGATAAATATAAGTAAAAAATAAGTTGTTAATATATCATAACCATTTTACATGTAATCATTAACGATTATAATTGGTTGTTAGGTTATTCAACACATTTATTTTTATATTATAATTTTTTTTACTATAAATCATATATTTTATTATAGAGAACTAGTGTAGGATTTTCTTTTTCTTTTCAACAATATTACAAAGGTAATCTTTTACATATGATATCGATATGCTGATTCAATTATTTATTTTAAAAATATTATAAAGGTAATTCTTTTACATATGAAATCGATATGCTAATTCAATTATTTATTTTAACAAAATCATTATATGATAAATTTATATATTTTAATATTTTATATAATAAATAATAGTGATAAGAAAGAAATTGTTGAGAAAAAAAATCTAATACAAGATAAATAAATGTTTCATTTATTTTATCCTGTGCTAGGCATATATGACGTGGAAATGGTGAAAACTTTGGGGACGAAAACCCATTGTCTCATGCGCACGGAACCTTCAAGAATCAAGATCAGATCAAATTAATAAAAGGAAGAAAAAAATCTTTTAATTATTATTCATTAGTTTCTTTTCTCCAATCCCTTTCTTAACTAAATAAGCTGAACGAAAACGAGAACTGGATTAGATTCGAACCACCACCAACAACATCAACACAGATCCGTTTTCCTTCACTTTCCGGGAAAACCCCCATTTCCCGAGAGAAACCGTGCATGGTCGTGTCACGCAGATCGAATTGATCAATCATTGCAATCGCGCGTGAGATGTACAACCCTGCGGCGGCGAGTAGGAGCGTCCTGGCGTCGCGGACGAGTTCGCGGTCGGTGACGGAGACGGTGAACGGTTCGCACAAGTTCGTGATCAAGGGTTACTCTCTTGCCAAGGGAATCGGCGTCGGAAAACACATCGCGAGCGAGACTTTCACCGTCGGAGGGTACCAGTGGGCGATTTACTTCTATCCTGACGGCAAGAATCCGGAAGATAACTCCGCCTATGTCTCCGTCTTCATCGCGCTCGCTTCGGAAGGCACCGACGTTCGCGCGCTCTTCGAACTCACCTTGCTCGACCAGAGCGGCAACGGCAAGCACAAGGTGCACAGCCACTTCGATCGGTCGCTCGAGAGTGGGCCCTACACTCTCAAATATCGAGGCAGCATGTGGTTAGTGTCGCCGTTTTCTCGCTCTGTTTGGTTGTGAATTTGTGTTTTAGGTTTAAATTGAATTGTAATGTTTTGTAGGGATCGTGAAATTGAGTGTTATGCAATACATTCTTTAGTTTTGTTGTGTGGATTGTTGCTCTCTATGGTTGTTTCGTTTTTAACTTTATAGCTGGGTATAGTTTTGGTGCTGAGGAGAAAAGGCAAAAGAAACACAAGTAATTAGTTCTAGATTTTCCTTCCCTAATAGTGTGAGTAAGTTGCCAGGCCTATTTCAATACGAAGGATTTGACTCCTCTGAAGTGAAACGCACTTACTATCGTTGATTAGCGGATCAATGGTTAAAAATTGTGATAAAGTTAAAGATATATTTAACAAAATCTAAAATTAATTATATTCTCAATAGTTGATTTTCTAATGAATTGCTAATATTGCATCATTTCCCTCACTTTAGAGAACCAAATCCCATTTTGAAAGGTCTTGGATAGCTTTAATTATGCCTGCATACCGGTGCAAATGGCTTGGATGTTATATGCATGACATAGCATAAGCGGAGTTGAGAAAGGCAGCAACCTTCTGATACCTCAACCCCCAGATTGCTTGAAGACCTTCGTAAATTCCCCTGAGCTCTGCCAATGTAAGATCACAATGTCCAATGTAGCTAGCAAAGTTATAAACGCAATGACCCCCATACTACCCTGGACCAGACCGCCAAAGCCAGCATGCCATAGGGAGATTCCAACATGCTGCCATCAATATTGAGTGTTTTCCAAAGTTGGATAAATCTAGATACATGTTCTTCCCTGATGACTTCTGCCTTAAAATACTAATTTGTAAAATATGGTTTTCGTTTGGTCTTTCAAAATAGGGTTTTAGTTCCTGCACAAATTTAACTCTCTAGATTAAAAGCACCTTTTTTTTGTTAAAACAGATAGGCTAAAAACTTATTAATTTTTATAAGGACTGAAGTCAAACTTCTAGATATTTTTGTAGACCAAAACTGTATTTTCCTCTAAAATATTCAGTTTTGTGCTATTAGTTGATGGTTAGGATATTCTAACATGCTAATGAGATCCTTCTGGATTTTATGATATGCTTAGGATGTTAAGCTGAGTTAGTAGCTGTTTTATCAATTTTTGTTATGTGCATTATGGAGTGATCAATGATGCACTGGTTATGTGATTAGGGGTTATAAGAGATTTTTTAAACGGGCTCAACTCGAAGCATCAAGTTTCCTGAAAGAAGACTGCTTGAAGATAAACTGCACTGTTGGTGTTGTGGTTTCATCCATTGATTGTTCTAAATTAAACACAATACAGGTTCCTGAGTCTGATATTGGGTCACATTTTGGAATGCTGTTAGAGAATGAGGAGGGATCCGATGTTACTTTCTCTGTCAGTGGAGAAAGGTTTCATGCTCATAAACTTGTTTTGGCTGCTAGATCAACTGCATTTGAAACTGAGTTTTTCAATGGGATGGAGGAGGATGAACGGGATATAGTTGTTACTGACATGGAACCTAAGGTTTTCAAGGTAGAACATTTGTTAAAATGCCCATTTTTTTCTACCCTTTCACAGTTATTTTTTGTTCCGTGCGACATACATGCTAATTAATTCAGCTTCACTATGGCTTATCATTCCCTTGGTTGTCTACTGTTTTTTGTGTCCTATCATCGAGCAGGCTTTACTTCATTTTATTTATCGAGACACTCTTATAGATGATGAAGAACTTTTTGTGTCACGTTCATCGTTCTTGCCTTCAGTATCTGAATCATTTGCAGCAAAGTTGTTAGCTGCTGCGGAAAAGTATGGTTTGCCTAGACTTAAGCTGATGTGTGAATCGGTACTTTGTAAAGACATTTCTATAGATTCTGTAGCCTATATTCTGGCTCTTGCCGATCGCCATCGTGCTACAGAATTGAAGTCTGTCTGTCTACAATTTTCTGCTGAAAACCTTGTTGGTAAGTTTTCCTGCTGAACTTAACTCTCCCGCCTAAGTCTTCAATTGAATTCCGATACTTTTTAGCTTGTACTAGATTCTCTCACTTTGGTGTCTGCACTATTTGTTACTTCAAAAACACTGGATCATATATGCTAAACATAAACCAACCCATCTGTTCTTGTGATGATGTAAGTTTTCACCATTGGCATAATTGGTTGTATGGAAATAAACTTTAATTCTCAGTATTATGAACATGTGAAGCAGCACTCTTTTCTTGGATCTTGATTAAGTCTCTTTCATAAGCAAGGATTGTCTCCATTGTCTACAAGAAAATAATGACTATCTATCTTCCAAAAATATGGATACTTTCAATTTATGGAATAAAGATGGAAAGAGTAAAAACCTCACCTTTTCCACTAATCCTACATCAAATACTTTTATGTTAGGGCAAAATTTCTGGCTTAATTGCTGGTATTGATATTTGATGGCCAACTAGGATTGAAGATAAACCTGAAGCAAGTTGTATGTTCCTTTTGAAGGATGTTATGGGCTGTTGATACCCTATAGTGTTTGTTTGCAGTTTGTTTGGGCTTGTCCCCTTCTTAGTTCCAAAATGTTGTGATTGAAGTTTTTCTTTTTTGTTGTTCTTGTGAGAAGTATCCTCTTCTGGAGCAGTAAGTTCTTTACATTGTCGAGTGCTTATATTTTTCCCTTGTTTTTTTGAGCTGAATCAACAGGCATGTTTTGAACCATTTGGTAGTGAGAAACGATATCACAGGCACCAATCTTTAGTTTCTATCATCTGTCTTGGACTTTCTACTTTTCAATGTTGTACCTTGGAAAGTTTCTGTTGAAAAGGCTATTTATAGATTTCTTCGTTGTCCTTTATTGCATACGTTTTATTATGAATTCAATTGATGGTCACTCAGTGGTCTTTTCAATTTAATAAAGATGTATCATTCAATAAATTGGTCCAAGAAAGTTGGTTGACTTAGACACTCCAGTTGTATTTGCTCTGTAGTCTATAGTTACTAGTACTATGTATTTGTCAAGTTTGTAATGTATGCTTATCAATTTGTTCTCCGTACATTTTTAATAAAATATTAGCCTCATCCTGTATAAGTTCTGTTTGTCTTCTGGGACTTTTATTTTCATCAACAGTCTATGAAATGTTCTTAAGCCAAGACCAGATGTATAACTGTTGATTATCATATCACTTTATTTTTGTCTTGCAGCCGTGATGCAATCTGATGGTTTTGAGTATCTTAAGGAAAATTGTCCATTGCTGCAATCGGAATTGCTAAAGACTGTGGCAGGATGTGAGGAGGAATTTAGTGGAGAAGGAAAATGTCGGAGTGTCTGGGCCCAATTTTCTGATGGTGGCGATACCAATGATAGGAGTGTAAGACAACAAACCTGGGAAAATGGAGTTGACAGAAGTCAAAGCTTATGGGTTCACCTTTCTGATGGTGTTAACAACAATGACAGGAGTCCAGGACAAGAACCTTGACAAGGTAAGTACCTTCGTTTGTCAGTTAGGCTTAAATGCTAGATTAAATGCTACTGCAAAGACAATGCTAACTTATTGTGCGGGACTGGCAAAGGGGTAGGAATGCAATAAGTAATGCCACCATTGTAATGTCTTATAAGACTGCTTTTTTTCATTGATAATATGATTACGAGGATGTAGTGGTCGCAATAAGTAATAACATTGATCATTGTAAGGGAGTTTGTTGGGAACATTTTCATAAAGGACTGGGTCTTACTTTATTTGGATATTTGTTGTATTTCATGAATAAATTATTAAAGTGAGCAATTAACTGTAGTTTCTGGTTGTCTTGTTTCTGCAAAGTCCTATTGAATTCAAATATAATGAGAACCATAAATCATTGCATGCAGGGTTTCGGTTGGGACAAGTTAATTGGTCCTTGGTAGAAGACCAGCCTGTGCAGGGATTTCATTGCATGCAGCATTGTTTTTCTTTCTTTTTTTTTTTTTTTTTGGGGGGAGGGGGGGGGACGCGCGGGGTTGACTGGTTGAGATAGCAGATTTGTCTTGTAACGTTAGTGATGTATCTTCTAACATCAATGAATGCTAGCAAGTTAACAAATGAGATGAAGGGACAAAACAATATCTAGTTTACCTTGTATCTAGATCTTTTCTGTTTTAGGGTGGGAGGTTGTCCACCCAGACTGGTGAACTCAGGATACTTCACGCATGATTGCTGTATCTTTTACAGTTGGAATCTTCATCCTTGTGAATTGTCAAACATAGATCAAATTAGACCCTGACCCTGAATGGTATAATAATATTATTAGATGATTTTTATCTATCTAACGTTGGGATTATAATTTTTATCTATCTAATTATTTGTGTTAAGTATATTACATAGTTTTCCTATTTTTATATATTTTAAAAAATTAATTTAATTAATATTAAAGGAGTATTAAATATAGGATGTTGTAAAACTGATTTATATAATAAAAGAATCAATTTAATAGGATTTTTAAGATGAATTATTTTAATTAAAAGTTATTAAATGTTGCAATGGGAGAGAATCGATAGTAGTGTAATTTAAATTCCCTGTTTATATCATGTGAAGAAAAAAATTTGTAATTGAATAATTTAAATAGATAGTTAAGATAAACTTTTACTGGCTTTTTACTCTCATGACGAAGCAATGTTACATCACATCCCAAGTTTAATTTGTGGATGATGTCTACTGATTCGGACTAGGAATTTTCTGTAACGAGGATTCAGTGATGAAAACATGATGTTTGGAGTAGTAGCACATTTGGTCAAAGAAAACTGAAACTCTCTCGATAAACCTGTTGGAATTCTTTTAAGTTATCTGTTAAGTTTCTTGTATTCGCCTGTTAAGTTTCTCTATCAACATGAAATTTCTTTACTATTTTTATAAACCCTTTTTTTAGAGAGAATGGAGGAAAATCGTCAAATCTTCATCATTATTTCAATAAATAATATTTAAAAATTATCTTTATTTAATGATTTGTTATTAAAACTAATTTAAATATATACACAATAATGTAAATATTGAGAATGTCAAACACTGTTATTGAGGTGAGGTGTGGTGTGGGGAGGAAACTACGGGGTGAAAACAGTTGGCCTCATGAGTTAAACGAAAACAATTATTTTTAGACTTGAGACTCCGTGCTTTTTGTTATACACAAAACTCTTATCTTTCTTTTATTTAAAATTATATTTTTTTTCCTTTTTTTTTTTCAAAACATTTATATTGCACTCCCATGCATTATGTGTTTGGAGAGGATTTTAAGAGGGAAAAAACATGTTTGAAAAGTAAAGAGACAAAAATACTTAAAGTCTAATAATTAGTCCATTTTTCTTGATCCATACTAATAAATATTATATTTTTTTTATACAGGTCTGAGTCTTGATGTGTGAATCATTTCTTTTTTTTGTGAGAAATATGTCCTAAATATAAGGAATTTTCAATTGCATTAAAAGAAAATAAATTAGACACATTAACAATAGCATTTATGTATTACTACTTACTCGACAATCAATTTTATATATGTTATCATTAATTTTTACTAGTACTTGAAATGGTTAGTCTCCAAAGGCATCAACTTGGATTATCTTTGTGAGGAAAACCTTTCTTTTCTAAAATTTACCTATATAATGTCATTTTTTCCCTTTATTAACATATTTTGCATATCTATCATATCTATCATGTTTCTTCTTAATTTAGGACTTCACTTTTTCATGAAGCTCTTTAACATATTTAACTTTATCTAGTCGAGATTTATCCTTAAGTTAAACAAAATGTAAGGTAAATTCATAAGAGTCAAAGATTAAAATCATAAATAATTTTTAAAGGAGAAAAATTTGTAATAACATGCATAACGTTGTTATATGAAAATTCAACATAAAATAAACACTCTTCTTAAACTCTAAATTTTTTTTAAGTACAACTATAAGAAGGGCAAAAAAAGTTTTATTTATCTATTCTATTTGATCATATTGAAAATAATAGTTTATACTTATTTTCCTCTCGTATAATCCACCAAATGATTAAGAAATTTAGAATCACAATTACTTACAATACTCCTAGATAGTCCATTCAATCTTACCACTTCCTTGAAAATAAATCAACAACATGGCAGCAACATCATTCACCTTCTTGTAAAATATAAAATGAGTCATCTTAGAAAACTTGTCAATGACCATGAAAATTGAAGTCTTTCCTCCCTTGGATTGAGGCAACCCTAAAAAATAATCCATAGAAATGTTAATTCATGGGTGTCTTGGAACAAGTAATGAAGTATAGAAATCATGACCTTAGGTTTATCCTTTTTACAAACAATACACTTTTCATAATGCTTACACTTATCATGCTTCATGTGAGACCAATATAAATGTTCATACAAGATATATCATATGTCTTTTGCACCCTAAAATGCACCATCAAACCCCTTTCATATGCCTCTTTAATAAGAACTTTCCTAATTGGACTCTTAAGAACATAAAAGTATTTTGTCCTTAATCAAATATCCATCATGTTTAACATACCTTCATATGCATTATGAAAACATGAATAATAGATAAGAGAAAAATCAACATCATGTTCATACAATTCTTTGATGTATTCAAAAATAAAAATTAAGTTTTAAGAGTTTACAATAGTGTATAACTATGTGAAACTGCATCAATTACAACATTATTTTTACATTTCTTATGCTTGATCATATATAGAAATTGCTCAAGAAATTTCACCCACTTAACATATCTCTTATTAAACTTTCTCTATCCTTTCAAATATTTTCAGGATTCATGATCATTATGAATAACAAATTCTTTTGGCAAGAGCTAATGTTGCCAAGTTTGTAAAACTTTAACCATTGAATACAATTCATTGTTATAGGTTGGATAGTTCAAAGCAGCCCCATTTATTTTCCCACTAAAATATGCAATGGGTTGCCCATCTTGCATTAACACAACTCCTATGCCTATCCCATATGCTTCACACTCAAGATCAAAAGATTTATCAAAATTAGGCAAATCTATAATAGGAACATTAGTTGATATTTCTTTCGAGATAACAACTTTTTATTGTCTCTTTTCCCACTCAAAAGTAACATTTTTCTTAGCTAGCTCATTAAGAGGTTCATCTATGGTACTAAAATTTTTTACAAATCTCCTATAAAAACTTGCTAACTCATGAAAACTTCTCACTTCACACACATTCTTTGGAATTATCATATTTGAATTACTTTTATTTCTTTTTATCTACATGAACACCACTAGAATTAACCACAAAACCTAAGAAAACTACTTGATCTTGACAAAAGGTGCACTTCTCTATATTGGCATACAACTTTTCAATTCTAAGAACATACAAAACAAATTTCAAATGCTCCAAATGTTCTTTCAAACTCTTAATATACACAAGGATATCATAAAAAAAGACCACCACACATTTTCCTAAAATTTCTCTCAAAATATAATTCATCAATCTCATAAAAGTACTTGGTGCATTGGTTAACTCAAAAGACATCACCTTCCATTCATACAATCCATATTTTGTCTTAAAGGATGTCTTCCACTTATCTTCTTCTCTAAATCTAATCTGATTATATCCACTTTTAAGATCAACTTTTACAAAGAAACATGAACCGTACAATTGACCAAGGAGATAATTTAACTTGGGAATTTGATGTATGCACTTGATCATGATATAATTGACAAGTTTACAATTTGAGCACATCCTCCAACTCTCATTCTTCTTTGCAACCATAATTACAAACACAAGACAAAGACTCAAGTTTTCTTTTACCCATCCTTTATTCTTCAACTCAACAACATACCTTTGAATTCTTGGTTCTATTTGGGATCAGTTCTATATGTAGACTTATAAGGCAACACAACTCTTGGAACCAAATCAATTTGATGCTCAATACCTTTTAAAGGTGGAAGTCTTACTAGTATCTCTTCAAGAAAAAAACATTTGAAAACTCCTACAAAATATATTTAACTCCACTTGAAAGTTCAGAGTTAGTACTCAATGTAGCAATTTCCTTCTAATAACAATATACATGAATTTTCTTATAAAATATGCTCTCCTTAATTCTTCACTTTTTACAAAGAAGGTTTTTTTTTTCTCTCCTTTCTTTCTCCACTCTTTTTACTTTGTTTTTTATTCCTTTTTCTCTCTCATTCTTCTTAACATTTTCTTTCTTCCACTCATTTTTCTCTCATTTATTTTGATCCTTACAAACCTCTATCGGTGACAAAGAAACAATAGTGACCTTGTCATCTTTATGAACAAATGTGTATTATGGGTGTGACCATCATGTTGAACTTTCTTATCAAACTACCACAGTCTTCCAAGCAACATATGATTGGCCTCCATACAAACTACATCATAATGGAGAATTCAATCTCTACTTGTTTGCCACCTACAACTCTCCTTCTTCACTAAGTCATTGTAATTTATATGGATACCAATCTAGTGCTAGCCACTTTTGTGTAGCTCCATCCATCTATGACTAATGAGCACACTTTTCCTTCAATAAAACAACTAGAATGGAATATGTTTTCTCTTTAGCTTCCTTCATCTTTCTTCCCAACTACAAACATCTTGTTGACAATAAACAAGTCTCCCTCTAGAATCTCCTCTTCATTTTCACTTTCTTCTCTACTAGATGGTTCAAAATGGGAAGATTCACTAGAGATACTTCATTCTCCTTAAGAAACATAACCTTCTTAGTAGGACATTTTTAAGTTGTCTTATTCCTAAACATTTGAAACACTTGATGCCACTATTTTCTGGTTTTCTTTGGGGTCTCATTAGACTTAGAATAAGTTTTCTGAAATGCAGCAATGGAATTGTTTGAAGAAGCACTTCCCTCCTTCTTATTCTTTTCCTTCCAACTTGAAGAACTAAAACTAGAAGAACTCTTCTTCGCACCTTTTCTTATACTATTTCTTCTATCTCGACACAACGATGCAATTCCATCACATACCTAATATTATGATTCAACTCTTTTACAAAATGACTAACTGTTATTCCCCTCTCTTCATTCATTAATCATACATATCTCCATCTCTTTAAAGTACTAATTAATAATCATTCCTCCTTTGGTGATGTGTACCAACTTATCTCAAACGTGGATTAAAGTACATTTTGTCACCAAAATGTGATCAAACAATGCAATAAAAATATGCAGTAACTAGGGAAAACATAGATTGTATTCTTGAAAATTTTATAGGCTTAATTCTCGATTATAAGTTAAAAGAGGTGGATTTGAATAGTTTTGTTGGGTAAATCATTAAAGAAAACAATAAATCTATAAGACTAAGTAAATAGTAAGTAATGTAGTAAACTTTGGGGAAAAACTATGAAATGCAATGGTTAATTCTTCAATCATCAACATGTTCCTTTGATTATCATTTATTTATAGACCTAGATGTAACCACAAAATAGATCCGTAGGACATATAAACATTCATAATCCAATTAATTATATCAAATGGATTCATCGTTGATTTTCACTATCATTCGTGAAATCAAAGATTCCAATTTCTCAAAAGATTTTGTAATATAGAGTACAAACCTAAGTCATTTTTCTTAATGACACATATTGATATGTATTCAATTCTTAATATTCCTTTTTAAAAGTCTACTTAAAGACTCTCAAATCTAAAGTAAACGTGGGCCTAATTGTGGGCTTTAACTATGTCCTATAAGCCCAATTACAATAAGTTAATACAAAAGAAAATCAAATTCATATGACTTCTTTACAAAATTTTAACAAATTTGCCTGTACTTCTAAAAATCATAGAAAATAGCACGAAACTCAAAGTTCAAAAACCATCCATTCTAAATCCCTAGAAGTGTAGAATCCAAGGCAAAGGATTGGATCTATCTATAACCAACACCCATCACCACTTGGAATGAAATGACAAGAAGGTTTCTGGAAAAATTCTTCCCTACATAGTTGTATCCATGAGGAAGGAGATTAGTTGAGTAAGGCAGTTGCATGGGGAGTCATTGTATGAGTATTGGGAAAGATTTCCTATATAAACAGTTTTAATTTCTCCTTTCGATATACAATTTTGAGAAAAGTTGTTAGCAATCTTTGGAGAGATCTGTTAAAGATTAACGTGCAATTTTTACTGTGTGATAATCCAAAAACTCTTTTGAGGCATATCTTGTATCTCTTGGAGAGATTACCTTTGGATTGTGATTTTGCAGTTAGAGTACTTGTTATGCAATTTTTTCAAGTGATTTCTTTCCTAGTGTATTTGTGGTACCTAGTGGTGGATACTAGTTGGTGGCGCCTGGTATTGGTTGTTGGTGGTGTCAAGAGTGATTCTTTGGTGTTCAAGAAACTCTTTGTAGGTGGATTGAGTGTATCTACTAGTTTGTATTTATAATTGACTATTGTTATAGTGAAACTAAACTGATTGTGTTGAGAACTGGATGTAGTCAGTTGGATTGGGTGAATAGTATAAATCTTCTGTTTTCTTTTTCTCTTTCTCTTACCTCTTGCATTTACTTTCAATTTCTTGTTTTACTCTTCAATCAATTCTTAAAAATTTAATTTGGTTCTTGGAGAATTATTAACTTGTTCAGTTTTCTTTTTAAGTTTTAAAAGATCAATTCACCTGCATCTTGCTCTTGGCCATTGTTCTTAACAATCAAGTTACAACTCTTCACTACCTAATATGAATGGTGTTCAATCTACACTGGAAGGTGTCATGCTTTACCAAACAACACACGAAATGGGGACATGCGTAATGGTGTCTAATAAGTTGTTCATTGAGCCCAAAGAACATCATCTAGCATCTTTCTCCAAGCTTTCCTATCACTACAAGAATTTTACATATTAGCTATGACACATTCCGTAGCTATTTTATAGTTAATCTCTCGCTGATATATTTTGCTGCAGATTAGCTACGGAATAGCTATGGAATAGTCCGTAGCTAAATCCAAGTAGCTAATTAGATACAGATGTATTCTCTCTCAAACTTGTAGCAAATTTTGTCGCTAAACTGTCGCTAAATCCCTTGCTAATTTAAATGATGAAATTTTGTTTATCTCTAGCTAATTTGATCTCCCAAAACTTGTAGCTAATCCGTAGCTAATCCCTCGCAATTTTTCTCTCGCTAATCCGTAGCTAATCCCTCGCAATTTTCCTCTCGCTAATTCGTAGCTAATCCCTCACAAATTTTCTCTCGCTAATCTGTACCTAATTCTTCGCAATTTTTCTCTCGCTAATCCGTAGCTAATCCCTCGCAATTTTTCTCTCGCTAATCCGTAGCTAATCCCTTGCAATTTTTCTCTCGCCAATCCGTAGCTAATCCCTCGCAATTTTTCTCTCGCTAATCCGTAGCTAATCCCTCGCAATTTTTTTCTCGCTAATCCGTAGCTAATCCTTCACAATTTTTCTCTCGCTAGCTCTAGCTAGTGGTTAATGCCTCACAATTATTTCTTCGCTAATCCGTAGCTAATCCTTTGCAATGTTTTTCTTACTATTTCATAGCTAATCCCTCATAATTTTTATCAAAATTTATAATATCAAATATTTAAGATTTAAATTATTACTCATTCTTAAAAAAGAAGACAAACTTATCAACTTTCAATATAAAAATATTGTTTAAACATAGTTAAAATGATGTTTCAAACAATTAAAACATAACAAAAATAATATTTCAACTAAAAAGTTATGTATAACACAATTACAAATAGAAACAAAGTTTAAAGTATGTTTTCATCATTGTTTCTTTAAGGCAGATAATAAATCTTTCATGAAAGACTGCATTTCTTCTTGCATTTGTTGTTGCATGAGTGTTTGCATTTCTGCTTGTGTCTTCATTTGTGCTTGCATCAATGCTTGCATATCAGTTTGTGCCTGCAACTGTGTTTTCATTTGCTCTTGCAAACTAGATATCTATGTAGCTAAGGTAATGATTTCTTCAGTGAGAGGTGTGGTAAGATTTTGGGAAGAGGGACCTTCAACTGATGAAGATGAAACATGTGAAATACCAAGATCCAAACTCTGACCTATACCATAAATTCTACCTTTTTTATTTTCACCAGCAGTCTTTATCCAAATATCAAAATCAACTATAGGATGATTTAATGTATCTTCCCCATATTTTTCAATCATAGCATTTTCATATGATTCCTACATCAAATCAATATTTTAGCAATATTATAAATAAACAAAATTTAATATTTATAAAATATACACACTTACAATGAATTTTTTTCCTTTGTTAGACACATATTCACCATCTTTCTTTTTATGAACTTTGCTATATAATTCACCATAAGAAATAGGACGTTTGTGCTCTTCTTCCTATGAAATAATTTACAATTCAAGATTCAGACATCCATATACCAACATCAAACCTAATATTAAATTTATAACTAGTAATCAATATTGATTAACAATTATATGATCAATGTATTAAATGTATAAAGTATGAATACCATTTTTTTCAAGTGTTGTCCAAAGCTTCTTGATCCTCCTGTGTGCATCATGGCATCAGGCTTGACAGCCCTATTGGCCTTACCTGCAATGGACTTCTTTTTCCATTCTTCTGTTGCCCATATGTCTACTAATCCAACCCACATCTCTGTCCTTATACATCATCGGTCCATCTTTCCTCACCATGAAGGATCCAATTTGTGTAACCATCCATAAATCCATGGTGATACAAATGCTTTTCCACATTAAATGATACATCCCAATAACGATTTCTACATTTTCCACATGGGCAAGGAATACGCCTGCTACATCGACAAATTTCGAGTCTCTTGTCGCTATTTGAATAAAACCATTAACACCATTTCTAATTCTTCAGCTTATAATACCAAATTGATTATTTCTTTGTAACATCCATCTTCGATCTGATTTCATTAATCTTGAAGTCTGGTTTAACAAAACTAAAAAAGTCATGGTAACAAACAGATGAAGGTTAAAGATCTAATTGTTAAAATTAATTTAATTTTAATAAGAAATAACTTTTTTAAGGGTAAATATTATAATAAGTCTCTCATAATCATTTATTTTAAAGATAAAATTAATTACTATGTTAGATGATAAAGAAGATTATATTTCGATTTTTTTTATTTAACTTTGAAAAGCTAATATTTATAAAAAAAATATTTTAATTTATTCGAGTTAGAATATTAAAATTATTAAATCAACAATGAACATTGAAGTGGTCCCTTCACTATAGCCAGACCCTAAAAATCATTTTCCCCATCAAGTTAAAACCTTGATAGGGATGTTAAAGTGTCGTCTCATTTCTTGGGAACAAGTATACATATGAAAATATGTGTTAAATGAGAAAATGAAAGTGGTAATTGCTAATGAAAAATTATAACAATGTAGAATGTACGTAGGTAAACGTAGGGAGGGTGAGGGTGAGGGTGCGGATGGGGATGTGGGTGCGGATGTGGGTGTGGGTGAGGGTGAGGGTAAGGGTGTACTGGAGGTGGAGGGGATGGGTACTTGTATGGCTTCTTAGGGGGTGGGGGAGGGGAGTGGTAAACGTAAGGAGGGTGAGGATGAGGATGAGGATGAGGGTGAGGGTAAGGGTTGGGGTGGGGTTGGGGTGGAGGGTGGGGATAGGGGTGAGGGTAAGGGTGCACTGGAGGTGGGGGAGATGGATATTTGTAGGGCTTCTTAGGAGGAGGTGGAGAATGGTAGTAGTATGGCTTTGGAGGAGGAGGTGAAGGTGGTGGTGGAGAGTGGTAGTAGTATGGTTTCGGTGGAGGAGGTGAAGGTGGAGGCGGTGAGTGATAGTAGTATGGCTTCTTGGGTGGGGGTGGGGGAGAATGGTAGTAGTATGGCTTAGATGGAGGAGGTGAAGGTGGTGGGGGTGAGTGGTAGTAGTATGGTTTTGGTGGAGGTGGTGGAGGAGAATGGTAGTAGTATGGCTTCTTAGGTGGTGGAGGTGGAGAATGATAATAGTATGGCTTTGGTGGGGGAGGCGAAGGTGGTGGAGGAGGTGGTGAAGAATAGTGGTATGGAGGAGAGACAGGTGGTGGAGGTGACGAGTAAATGTAGTGGTCAGCTGAGATTTGAGATTGGAAGCTTAGAGACACAATTGCCAATACAAGACTGAGTGTGGCGGAGGCCATTAGCAGCCCCATTGTTTTCCCCCTCAACCTCACTGCAAAGTGGGGTTTTGTTATGCTCTTTGTGAACCAAGTGCCACCTTTATATAGATTCTTTGTTTACCCCATTCAACACCAACCCCATTCAACACCCTAATCACACGCAATACCCATACCATTTACTACACATTCTCTTTCTCTTCATGTCTATCTTTCCAAAAACTCTTTTAGTGTGGTGAGGCCAACACTCTCTGATTCACTCCAACCAAAACCCAAACAGAAACTTAAAAAAAACAAAAAAAAACACAGACTTCAACCATTATTGAATGTGAAAACAGTCACCAAAAGAACAGTAATGCCATTCAAACCAATGTTCAAAACTAAAAACTGAGAGTGCATTGGATAGCTATCTATAAATATACACATAAAAAAGCATATACATAAAGCAATTAATATTAAGAGAATTTAATTAGAAGGGTGAGATATGACTTACCTGGTAGTAAAGAGTGAGATTGCTTATAGTAAAGAGTGAGATTGCTTATAGTTTCATGCGCACAGAAGAGTTTAATATGTGATATGGCACTTCTCAGAGTCTTATATACTGCACAAGTTTGGAAGAGGCATTAGGCAAATATGATTTGGCAAAATACACATGTTATAGAAAAATGAAGACATTTAGAATTTGTTAATTAGATTTATGAATAAAAGAATTGTCTTTCATGACGTAAAAAGAAAATTTAAATACCTACGCGTTTCATGAGGTCTAATGAGAACCAAATAACTCCATGGCTTATCACATATGAGCATGCAAATTTGTTAATCATTACGCAACTGCTTCAAATCATGACAAAATATTTTAGGGTTTTAAAAGAGTGGCTTGTCATGATCTTGTTTGAAGGTGCAGATTGATATCACTTAATAATTAAAAAAAATGTTTGTGTCCTTTGCATACCAATCAAAAGAGAATCAATTTAAATAAAACATGTGGGTGTGATAGCTTATATTAAACAAATCAAGGCATGGGTGGAACAATCTAAACAGAGAGTGAAAATGGTAAATGAATATTCTCTTTAACCCCCATACAATAAGAACAATCTGCCAGCAGAAAAAGTGGGATTCACCATTTTCCACTTCTAAGGAAAGAACAAGACTATACACTAGTTTTATAGTCTTGATTCCAGACACGCAAAGGAAACACACCACAGTTCACAAAATCACAAGGAAGCTATACCTATACCTGATAGGTAGATAGGCATAGATAAGGGAAAGATGATTGTATTGTAGTAGCTCCATTATTTGAATGAGTAAACAGTTACTTACTATAAACAAAATCATCCACTCTTCTCTCTATAACATATAGATGGTAAGTAATCATACTTTTACTTATCCCGCAATATCTGTTCATGTGCCTGGGTATTGTTTTGGCCTCATACTGAGTTACACTTTCTTTTAAAATTAACCATTGTTTTTTACGTTTATAACATTTTCTTTTATTTGGATCAATCTACATTGCTATAACATGGTATACGTAATAGTGCTACTTACTCAACAGAACAGAGTTCACTCTAAAAATAATACACAACAAACTTAAAACTATTAGGCGATAGACAATTAACGATGGATAAAACAACACATATTGAATAAAATCAAACCTCCCAAAACTCAAATCATAGGTTAACATTCAAAATGAAAAAGAGATTACCGTGAGAAAACGTCAGTGGCAGTGTGTGTGGAAGCGGCGCAGGACAGCAACGGACGCGGCGCAGGACAGCGCGGGAGCGGGAGCGAGAGCGGCAGCGGCAGCAGCAGCGGATGGGGGCGGCAACAGCAGGGGCAGGGAGCGGCAGCGAGCGGCGGCAGCGAGCAGTGGCAGGGAGCGGCAGGGAGCAGCGGCAGCGAGCGGCACGGCGGGACTGAGAGAGGCGTTAGGTTTGAAAAAATTAAGTATGAAGAAGATGAAACAAAAATAATTTACATTTTTATCAAAAGAATTATAAAAAAATAAATAAATTACTATTTCTGAATATAAATTTTTTTATTTCTTATAAAGAATAGTTTTTAAAAAAATTATAAAAAAATATTATTTATAAAATTTTTCTATTAATTTAAATATTTCTAACAAATTTAAATTTATAAAAAACTTACAAAAAATAATTTTAAATATTTATCAATTTTTTTAGATATTTTTTCAAAAAAATTATAATTATTTCTAAATAATTTATTTTAGATAAAAAAAATAATTTATATATATAATTATATATTTATAGTAAATTTGGTAAAAATAATTTTTTTAAGAAAAAATTGTAATTAATTTTTATTGATATTTTTTTCAAAAAGATCAAAAATTATTTTTTATAATTATATATTTTTAGAGAAATTTACAAGTATTTTTTATAAATAATTTTTTATAAAACTAAAATAATTTATAAGAATGTTCCCAATAATTTAATATTTTTTTTAATTTGATAGTTGCTATAAATTTGCTACAGTTTAACTATAATTGTATGTTACACAATTTAGCTAGGAAATAGCTTCAAAAAGTAATATAGCTAATATTTATAGCGAGGGATTAGTAACAAAAATTTTCCTAACTAAATTATTTTTTTGCTAAGTGAGAGAATAGCTACAAAAATATTAGTTTTCTAGCTATTTTACTACAGATTAGCTACATCCTTATTCTTTCACTATTCCATAGCTAATTAACTACAAATTAGTGAAAAAATAAAATTGTAGCTAATTTTTCTAGCTAATTATAAAATTTCTTGTGGTGTATTAGGGCGAATCAATTTCTACAACAACTTCTTGATTTCTCTATTAAAAACCTCAGCTTGTTCATTAATTTGGGGATGATATGGTGCAGAAACGCTACGTGTAACCCCATAATTCGAAACACAGTTGCTATAGTCCTATTACAAAAAATGACTCCCTTGATCACTAATAATGGATTTTGGCACACCAAATCTACAAAAAATGTTGAATATAATAAAATTTGAAACACCTTTATTATCATTACTCCTAGTGGCCTTAGCCTCCATCCATCGAGACACATAGTTAACAACCAATAAAATATAAGAGTAACCAAAAGAAACAGGAAAATGATCCATAAATACAACACCCCACACATAAAAAATTTCACAAAAAAAAGAGGTTGTTGGGGCATCTCATGTCTCTAGGTAATAGTTCCTCCTACTCTTTAACACCTCTTTCACAAGTAATGATAATATTAAATGCATCTCTGAAAATGGTGGGCCAATAAAACCACTCCCAAGTACTCTGCTTACTGTCCTTTGGGGATCAAAGTGACCTCCTACAGGTGTGGAATGATAGAAGTGAAGAATCTCATGAGACTCATGCTCAAGAACACATTCATGAATCACTTGATTACTACAAAACGACCACAAGTATGGATCATCCCAAACATAATATTTTGTATTGTTCTTAAGTTTATGAATCTAAGTCCTAGATGCATGAGGAGGTACAACAAAAGCAACTAAATAATTAACAATATCTCCAAACCAAGATGCAGAGTCTAAAGAGTATAAACATAATAAACGATCATTAGGGAAAACATCTCTAATAGGTAAGGGATCCAAGGTCCCCTCAATCCTACTCAAATGATATGTAACCTGATTTTGTGCACTAGTCTTTTCTCTAATATCTAAGTCAAACTCTTATAGAAGAAGCATTCATCTAATCAACCTAGTTTAATATTAGATTTCTTCAACAACAATTTTAATGTTGCATGGCAAAAGTAGACAGTAATTTTGGAGCCAAACAAATAAGAACAAAATTTATCTAATGCAAACACAGTGGCTAAAAGCTCATTCTCAATGGTGGTATAATTACCTTAGGTTGTATCAAGTGTACGAGAGGAATAGGCTATAACATGAAGGGTTTTACCAACTCGTTATGATAAAACAACACCAAGTGTATAATTATAGACATCATGCATGAGCTCAAAAGGGAGCTTCGAAATAGGTGGTTGCATGATAGGAGAATTGGTAAGTCTCTTCTTCAACTCCCCAAAGGCCTCTTTGCAAGACTGATCAAATGTAAAAACTATGTCATTCTAAAGAAAGTTAGACAATGGCAGAGTGATCTTGTTGAAATCTCATATAGATCTCCTATAAAAACCTGCATGTCCCAAAATCGAACACACTTCTCGTACAAACACAAGGTAAGAAAGAGAATTTATGACATCAAGTTTAGCTTTATCAACCTCAATACCTTGATGAACACATTTTATCAATAATTTTATTAATATAATTTATATATATTTAGTGTATTTTCTTAATTAATTATTAATAGTTAACAAAGTTTTTGTAGAAAGAAAATAAAAAAATCTTAATATAATTTATTGCTTAAATTGTACATTTTATCTAATTATTTATTTACTTTTGCAAGAATGATAAATTAAAGAAATTATAAAAGCTAAATCAATGAAATCCGTTCAACGAAATCAGCCAAAAGAGCTCCTTTTCTAAAAATTAGTAATCCGTTCAGATCTTTTTGATTCACCGAGTGCTTTTAAACATGCTCAGTGCTTTTTGATCCGTTAAGTGAAATATGTCAGTTCTCATGTAACTAATTTAATTATAAAATCGTTGAGTGCTTTGTAAACCACTGAGTGGATTTATCGAATCTTAATTTTGCAGAATGTTATTTTAAGTTCTATTATTTAATTTTGGGTCCTGAATGTGCCTTGATTGTTTTGTATATCTTTGTTGTTGTATAAATAAGTCTTTAAAGGCCGAAGTTAAGTTAAGTTTGTATCACAAATTAGTTTTCAAGTTCTCAAGTTAGTTTTCAGATTTTCTAGTTTTCTTTAGTGATGCTTAACTTCTAAGTCTGTTCATGAAGTTTCTTGTACGAAGGATGCTTAACATGTCTCTTGCTAAGCTTGTTTTGGCCTTTAAAAAATTTAAGGGATTCATGATCATTGTGGACCACAAACTCCTTTGGAAGAAGACAATGTTGCCAAGTTTGGAAGGCCCTAACAAGAGCATACAATTTTCGTCATAGGTGAAGTAATTGAG